CGCCACTCCCCCTTCATTCCACCCGTCGCAGCGTTCGCCTTCGTCTTTGCCGCGCCGCACCGTGCCAACTATTCGCACCCCTTTCTCTCTAACGATACTTTCTCCCTCTTTCTCTCTGACACGCTCTCTCTTCCTTTCTTCCTACCTTTTTCTCCTATACAGGGTGCGGTAAAAATCCTGATATAATCGAGAGCGAAAGGTAATTTTGGGAATCGAATTTTGTCGACGAAGACCACGGGAGCTAACGGACATTGTTAAGATAAATAGGACTGAAGTAGAACGTAACGCGTCGTTTCGTCGCTCGGTACCGTCTCGATTAGCGGACTCGAACCGAGGCGATCATATCCGATGTTATCAAACGGAGATTTCAATATATATTTCAGTTGTAATGATACCGTTCAAGTGATTTCATGTGTACTAATAATATAACTGTAAATATAAAATACAAAATACAAAATATAAAATATAAAATATACAATATACAATATTAAACATAAAATATAAAATATGAAATATAAAATGTACAATATAAAATATACAATATAAAATATAAAATATAAAATATAAAATTACAATATACAATATACAATATATAATATAAAATATAAAATATAAAATATAAAATATAAAATATAAAATATAGAATATACAATAAACAATATAAAATATAAAATATAAAATATAAAATATAGAATATACAATAAACAATATACAATATACAATATAAAATATAAAATGTAAAATATAAATTGTGCTACATTTCAGCAACCTCAAATATCACCAATCAGTATAACATATTTTGAAACCGTTGTAAAAATATAACTATGATGCAATATTGCAATAGTATGTATTTAAGGGTTACGTTGAGTCCGAAAACAACATGAGTGTATTCATAAACTTGTATGTGTCCCCTGTCCACTATAAGTATGTTTAAATAAATGCTTAATTCGGTAATCGAATTTGAAATCTGCTTATTTTCCGTAAAACCGCCGCGCAGTATTATACGCGTCTTATCTTTCTCCATGACGCTTTGTAGTCCGCGAGCGTTAATACAGAGTCCGCGGGGCACTCGCGAATCCTCTTTCGCTCTCTGTTTCAGTTGCTCTCTTGCAACTCGTATCCCACTCTATTCCCCAGACGCGTTTCTCTTTCCCCGTCCTTCGAGGACTGTACTCTGGTACATTCGGACCTCGATAAAGATTCCGAGTTATTATAACGTAGAAATAATAGAACATTGTTCGATTAAATCGCATACGAGACGTTTGTAGTTCGATGCGTATCGTAAAACGCGTGTTCGCGTTTACATGGTTCGTGACTTTTATTAACCATGGCGGTTAAGGGTTAAGGTCACGCGCGAAGCCATGGCTCCCGGAACGCGTGTCGCGTGCTCTCCGGCATACGGCCCTGATGATTCGCTCGCGCCACCAAGCGGAGCGAAGCGCCCCTCCTCGTTTGTCCTCGTCCCCCTTATTTTTCTCGCCAAACCCACCGCCCGCCGCTCGACGAGCCACTCGATTTACTTCCCCCTTTCGCGCCGTTATCCTCTCTATCCTCCTCTCTCTCTTTCGCCGCCGAGTCGCGTGGCACTCTCTCCCCCCTCGCGCTACACTCTCTCTTTCTCTTTCCTCTAGCCCCTTCCGTTTATTCTTTTCCTCGCGGTATTTCATTACGCTCCTTCCTCTTTCCGAACCGTCTACGTTTTGCATTGTTTTCTCCGATTTTCGAAACTCGCCCCTCAAGTCTTTTTCAACAATCGTTTTTATCGAATGTTAACATTAAACCCACCTGCATAATTCACACTTCACAATTATTATCTTAAAATAAATTAGTACAATCCTCACTTCAAAATTATTATCTTAAAATAAATCAGTATAATTCACATTTCAAAATTGCTGTCATAAAATTTATTTTAAAATTGAAAATGACATTAAAAGATAAATAAATAATGTAATAAATTAATATCATATTAATTCTTCATATTCATGAAGATCAACATAGGTTTCATTACCTAAACAAATTTTGTAATTTATAATAAAAGATTTCTAAAATTAAAATAAATCAGTATGATTGTACCATGAGTGCGTCCTGAGTGCGTCATGATTGCGTCATAAGTTGATATGCATTCAGTACAATTCACACTTCAAAATCACTATCTCAAAATTTACTTTAAAATAGAAAACGTCATTGAAAAATAAATAAATGCAATAAAATAATATCCACAATAATTCTTCATATTCATGAGGATCGACATAGATTTCATTACTTGAACAAATTTTGTAATTTATAATAAAAGATTTCTAAAATTAAAATAAATCAGTATGATTGTACCATGAGTGCGTCCTGAGTGCGTCATGATTGCGTCATAAGTTGATATGCATTCAGTACAATTCACACTTCAAAATCACTATCTCAAAATTTACTTTAAAATAGAAAACGTCATTGAAAAATAAATAAATGCAATAAAATAATATCCACAATAATTCTTCATATTCATGAGGATCAGCATAGATTTAATTACCTGAACAAATTTTGTAACTTAAAATAGAAGACAAGAATAAAATGGAAGACTACTAAAAAAGCTTTGGTCATTTAGCTCTGGTTTGCTGTCAAACTATACTGTCTATAGCCTAAGTTTGAATTCCCTGAATTACAAGATTTGTCGACAGGCTTTCTTAAAGTATTTTTGACAGTGTTTTAGGATTTGTTATCGACAGGGGGCACGACGTACGCGCGTTACGCGATAAGTTTTCTTGTTTCCGTCGCGTGCCTCCGTCCGTTACGTACGCGCCCGAACGGCTGACCGACCGGTCTTCTGTTTCCTTCTCGTTCGACCTCGAAAGGAATCGCGGCGTAAAGCGTAAGATTTCTCCTTCCTCGTCGCGCGTGCCACGCTCGTGTTTCTTCGTTCGAATCGTTTTCTCCTACGAACGTCCTTTTCGTTTGCTTCGGATGCCAGTGCCGATAATCTCTGTCCGAATACCTCTAACGACAGTTGCATTTGTTTATGGTCATCTCGACAAATCGATTTCGTAAATTCGATTATGAAGATTTAAAAAAATTTGAAAATGAAATTTTTACAAGTACAGCACTTTCAGTAAACTTCATCACGAATATTCTATTTTATCGTCAGGTATTTTTCGACAGAATTACTTCATGTTTAATGACGTCAATTTCGGAAGATATTTGACAGATGCATATGTAAACAAAATGGCGGCAAAACAAGTGCGTCTATACGCAGCTAGAGTTTTCGAAAACATGTTTAGTGTCAAAAACGTAAAATAGTAAATATATTTATGCTAAACAAGTTGCGTGAAATAAATAATAGTAAATATTGTGAGTTAAAAATCTCAGTAGCAGTTTATTTATAACTGTTGCTTCTGTCCCCCACCACGACGCGGATAACCGTTTTACGGGACTCGCAAGTAAGCGAAAAGTTTCGTCGGCGTTGCCAGCTTGCGTTTCCAGCTATCCGATGAAACGACGCGTTACAGTTTTTCGTACAGCTCGTACAACGGGAGTTTCCAGTTTCTCCGTGAATAGGAAACCGTGTATCTTTCACCAACGAAAATGCGTTAACTAGCATTTAATTTTCGCGGTGTAGAAATAAGATGGACGAAGCTTCTAGAAAATTCGATGCCTGAATTTCTGTTTATTTTTAGGTAAGTTGGTGAATGGAAATTGTATGCCTGTGAACTTTATATTCAAGGACGGTATCCCTTTTCAAGGTCCTGTAAACCCTTCTGACATCCGAGGTCCAGAAACTTTAAAGCAAAAAAAGCAAGTAGGTTAAAATAAAATTTTGTGTGAAATTTATTTCCGTTAAAAGAGTTAATATGTTTGAATTAAAGTAATTGTATTATACGGTCGAGTAACGAAAGAGAATATATAATCGACACCTGTTGTTCGCTCATTTCTTTTTAAATAATATTCGCAGAATGAAAAAGCACTGGAATTTGAAGAGAGAGGATTGGCGGGATTCTGCGGCGAATATTTTTTAATATTTTTACCTGTTGCTATTTTCGAGCTTTCCCGACCTATCGCAACGACTTCGATATAAAGCCGGCGTTGAACGTGAAAATGTCGCGTGGGCGTATCTCCGGGCGTCGGGGCGCCGGGCGTCGCTACTGGGTACACCGGCCACGGAGTTTCCATGGCGATCACTCACCAGCTGACCATGATTTCAACCTGACGTCATAGCTTTCGAAAGGACAACCACGCGCCGCCGACGTGTTATCGGTTAACGAGTTTACCTCCTCCCCTCTCTAACCATTTTTCACCGTTACGTCAGAGCAAGAAAATCATCGCGTCAAAATAACGAGTGCGTGGGTGCGGCTACCTGACGCGGTTTTTACGGAATCAAAATTTACGTTTTAACGCTAAATTGACGCATATATTATAGTAAAGATGGAGGTAGAGATAGGTAAGGTAAATGGACGTTCTTAGTGAACTGAAATATACAGTCATTCTTTTAATTTATATTGTAAATAAATTACACAAGGTATAAGATAGAAATATTATACAAAGTGTAATTTATATAAATAATACAAATTCATTTTATATAAATAATACAAATTTAATTTATATAAATTATAATATATTTATAATTATATAATTTTAATTATATTTATAAGATATGAAGAATAATTTCTTAACAGAAACTGTATTAAAAAATATTTCAAACAAGAATATTCAATAATATAATTTATACAAATTATATCCTTAAGTTAGGTTAGGTTATAATTTATACAAATTATATTATATTTCTAATTATATAATTCTAGTTACATTTGTAAGATATCAAGAATAATTTCCTAGCACAAATTGTACTAAAAAATATTGATAAAAAAATTGTATTCAAGAATATTGTCAAACAAGTTATATCAAAATAATTATTAATTAAAATAGTAACTAAAATAGTAAAAAATATTAATTTGTTAAAGTGAATTATTATTGTTATATTAAAATAGTTATATTATAAACTATTTTTTTTCTTATTTATTTATTTATTTATTTTCTTTCAGGTAGATGTATCATTTATGCCATATAACAAGTATTCCATCGAAAGGCAATGTCTGCAGTTCCTTTATTTAAAAATCGCACGAACCCCGCCTGGACAGGAGACCATTTTTAATGATAATCTATGAAATATCGCTGTCAAGATTCTTTGCGTTACGTATACGGACCTCTAAAGTAGGCCACGAACGTAGATCGAATTTGAAGCGACTGCGGTGAAATGGGGTTACACAGCTGTATCATTTATGAATCCGTTGAAATGCTAGACTGAATGCTGTTTCCGAAAACGAGCAAAATATATGTACACCGTACGAAAAACTGTAAATCGTTATGATTTTTGTATCTCAAAATTAACCTCTTGCACTGTGACTTGTCAGATGCGTCAGAACTGATCTATCATATTTACACAGACAAAGAAGAAGTGTTATGTCAATTATATATTATGCAATAGATGACTATGCAAATTATTGAACTTCGTATTGAAGCGTATTAAAAATCCGAGTAAAGTCGTAGTTGAAATTCAAGTGCGTCATGGGTGCGTCATGAGTACACTAGTGTGTCATGAGTGCGTCACGAGACTGAAAACAGTGCAAGGAGTTAAATATCGCGTATTCAAAAATCTGTAGAAGCTATAATAATGCAACTGCGTTTTCTGTTGAATCACTATTAAAATCAGAGTAAAATCAGCTGAAATACTAGTGCGTCGTAGGTGCGTCATGAGTACACTAGTGTCATGAGTGCGTCACGAGACTGAAAATAGTGCAAGGAGTTAAATATTGCGTATTCAAAAATCTGTAGAAGCTATAATAATGCAACTGCGTTTTCTGTTGAATCACTATTAAAATCAGAGTAAAATCAGCTTAAATACAAGTGCGTCATAGGTGCGTCGCGAGTACACTAGTGTTATGAGTGCGTCACGAGACTGAAGTGTCATGAGTGCGTCACGAGACTGAAAACAGTGCAAGGAGTTAAATATCGCGTATTCAAAAATCTGTAGAAGCTATAATAATGCAACTGAGTTTTCTATTTAATCACTATTAAAATCAGAGTAAAATCAGCTTAAATACTAGTGCGTCGTAGGTGCGTCGTGAGTACACTAGTGTTATGAGTGCGTCACGAGACTGAAAACAGTGCAAGGAGTTAAATATCGCGTATTCAAAAATCTGTAGAAGCTATAATCGTGCAACTGAGTTTTCTATTTAATCACTATTAAAATCAGAGTAAAATCAGCTGAAATACAAGTGCGTCATAGGTGCGTCACGACTACACGACTGTGTCATGAGAGTGTCACGACCGAGGCTCGTGGAAATAGTGCAAAGAGTTAAATATCACGTATTCAAAAATCTTTACAAGCTACAATCGTGCAATTGCGTTTTTTATTTAACCACTATTTCTAATCTTATATAATTACTGAAATTTGCATGTACACGCTTATATAATCGTTGCAAGATGTAATTGCGTCAACTAACCTGAGGTTAAATTATGTCGCAGTATTTTTTACACGAGAACAATTTCGCTTTTATGTTCCCGAAATTCGATCTAAAATTAGACGTCGGAGAAAGTCACTCTTGGAAATTTGATGTCGTCACGTTTGCTAAGAATTTAATTTGCTTAAATCGTTGTAAGTCGAGCAAACTTTGAGCTTCTGTGTAAAACTATATTTTTAATCGGACCGTGATAACTATTTAATTTGAATCGTTGATAACGCTGTTTCATAAAATCATTCGATAAGCTAAAAATATTTGAGAACCTTTGGGAAACGGCGGTTTAAAGCTTTGTTCGTCGCAGCTTTGGAAAGCAGAATGTACAGGAACCTTCGTCACGTGATGAAGTATTGAGTCAAGTATCTCTTTTCATAAAATAAAGCAGTGTTACGGTAAGTATATTTTGTAGCTGATCTACAGTCACGCAGGAGTTTCAGAAATGGCTGTACGGTAAGTATGAAGCTTCGTACTGGAAAAATAGAGTTAAATATAAATGGTTATAGAAAGCTTAGTCATCTAACAGTGGACAGAGAAATAGTACTTCACATTTTTAATAAATTTGACTATTTAGGGACTCTGTAGGGTTTATAATTATGAGGAAAACATACTAAGGCCAAATAAGACGAGTTTGTGGAGAGTATTGTAGCGTAGCAGTGCAAAAAATGAATATTAATTGAAATAGGTCGAACACGATAAAAATGGCGCCATCTGTCAGTACGATGTACACCTGTCAAGATATAAAATTGCGATTTTCTGGAAAATTAGAGGATTTTATATTGTTTTGGACTTTTTAAAATGTTCAATATCCTTAATAGAACAGAAATAATGCCATAATAACACGTTGAAACCGTTAATAAAGAAAATTAAAATTATATGCATTTCATGGACCTAAAAAAGTGTAGCCACCTAGCGGTGAAAGTTGGAACTACGAAAACACAAAATATCGATTTTCTCAAAAACTAAATATTTTTCCGCAATTCTGAAAAGTACAAATTGTTCTGTGTCCTGAAAGCTATCAAATGAGTGTAATTACAGCGCTCTAAGTCCATTATTAAAGAAGTTGAAAATTATTGCATTTTATGGACATTAAAAAGTCCGTCCATCTAGCGGTGAAAGTTGGAACTAATTTCAGTATAGGTAGAATACAAATTTCGTATTTATTGACTTTTCGGGCATGTAGACACTTCAGAAACGATCTAAAAGTAATTAGTATTGCTTTCCTGATGAATTTGTTGCATAATAGGTGCTCTAAGTCGAAAAATAATGAATTTTAGAGTGAACTCAGCCGACAACGGTTTACGATGACGTCATCAATATGCTTCATATTTATCGAAGTCAATTAATATTGATTTTCTTTAGTTTAGGAGGTAAAATATGCACTAAATTACTTACAAAAACACTATTAATTAATTGTATAATGTTCAGGTAGCACCACCGTGTCAGAAAAGTCGTAAAATTCGAAAAATGTAAGGGTACTGTAGTTCCATGTACTGAAATTAGTTCCAACTTTCACCGCTAGATGGACGGACTTTTTAATGTCCATAAAATGCAATAATTTTCAACTTCTTTAATAATAGACTTAGAGCGCTGTAATTACACTCGTTCGATAGCGTTCAGAACATAGAACAATTCGTACTTTTCAGAATTGCGGAAAAATGTCTAGGTTCCGAGAAAATCGGTATTTTCTATTTTCGTAGTTCCAACTTTCACCGCTAGATGGACGGACTTTTTTAGGTCCATAAATTGCTATAATTTTCAACTTCTTTAATAATGGACCTAGAGCGCTGTAAGTACAATCATTCGATAGCTTTGAGAACATAGAACAATTCGTACTTTTCAGAATTGCGAAAAAATGTCTAGTTTCCGAGAAAATCGATATTTTGTGTTTTTGTAGTTCCAACTTTCACCGCTAGATGGACGGACTTTTTAATGTCCATAAAATGCAATAATTTTCAACTTCTTTAATAATTGACTTACAGCGTTGTAATTACACACATTCGATAGCTTTTAGGACACAGAACAATTTGTACTTTTCAGAAATCCAAAAAAATGTATAGTTTTTGAGAAAATCGAGATTTTGTATTTTCGTAGTTCCATCAGTAGCTCAATCTTTTTTCAGGTCCACAAAATAATACTCATACGCGAATTATGATATCCTATTATACTCATAAAATATTATTTAGTCATTATAAAGCCAAAATTTTCAGTTAATAAGCCGGTAAATATTTTTTCTTTGAAACAATTCAAGTTTTACTGCCAGATGCCGCTAACGTATTGTTTAACAATGACGTCGAAATCTAAGATGGCGTAGTCCATTCGTGATCGATGCGTTTACCGGTTAACCTAATTCATTGTTTTCCTTTAAACATTTAAATCATATTTAGAAGTTTTTAAACATCATTGTCACCAAAATGTTTCCTTTTAGAATTTGTAATCGTATTAGATATATGTCGACAAATGTCGACAAGATTGCTAACCTTGTAAAGGTAAGCAGTCTTGCGAAATGTTTGCAACGCAATATATTTACTTATAATTATCTTAATTGTTGCTTAACTTTAATTGATAAGCGTTATATAATCCTACCTTATGATTTAATTAATTATACTTATTTTAATGGAAGGGTGTAAGGGTTAATTTTGATTCAAAGAAAGTTTCTATTGATTTCATTCTTTGTTAATTACTTTATGACGTGTTAATTGTATTATACAGAAGAACAAAGTGGTCGTGTTCATGAAGGGTGTTCCGGACAGTCCCAAGTGTGGCTTCAGCAATGCTGTCGTACAAATACTAAGGATGCACGATGTGAAATATGATGCTCATGACGTTCTTGAAGATGAACAGTTGAGACAAGGTTACTATCGTTCCAAATAAACATCTCCTCAGTATCAAACTCTGTAACAAAGCATTAGCTGTCACACAGCAATCATAACTTTTAACAAACTTTATTGTACATCCAGGTATTAAGGACTTTTCCAATTGGCCTACCATACCGCAAGTGTTCATAAACGGAGAGTTCGTGGGAGGATGTGACATACTGTTGGAGATGCACAAGAACGGAGAGCTCGTGGAGGAGTTAAAGAAAGTTGGTATCCAAAGTGCCCTGCTTGAGAAAGAAGAGTCCCAAGAGAAGAAGCCTACGAACTAAGCTTGTTTTTAAGCTTTGTAACATGTAAATAAAGTAATTGTTATTTTTGTGTTCATGTTTGAGTTGTTTTAAATAAATGATGGCAGGAATTTTGAAGCGTATATTTAATAACCGTTCAATTAGGACTTGTTACAAATTAGGACTGTCTTTTGTAGGGTTGTTTCGTTGTTCCTTAAGCTGTTGAGTACAATAATACAATGTACAATGTATGTACAGTGTGGTACGATATAAGTTTAAGATGTAATATATGGATGAATAAAATTTTTTAGTGCAAACATTTTACCACTGGCTTATAAACTTTTTAATTTACACAAGAGGATGTACACCAGAGGATTTGTAGAAATTAGAAAATTGGAAAGGGTTCATATGTTTGGTTTTCAGAAAATCAAAAATGTGGAATTTCTGGTTCTCCACTGGAGGACTAAAGGAAGCCACGTTGTAGCCAAATGTACTACCGTTTCCCTTTAGCGTTCATTGAAAAGAAGGAAACAGCGGAAGGGGGAGGAAAAAGTAGATCAAGGTCACGTGACGCGGGTCACGATCCAAGAGGTTCCGTTTTGCGTGCGCGTGCACGCACAACCACCACCAGGTCCTGCTTTTCCGCATTGCGTTCGCCAACTTGGACTCGATTAACTTCGTTGCAGTCCCATAAAAATTCTGTTCCAAAACGAAGCTCTTCGGTTGCTTTTTCTTCGATGGATCAGGAACGATGTCTCTTCGATTTCTACAAAATTAAACAAAATTTATGATATTAGAAATTTATGTAATATATTTATATTATACACGTTATTTATTATTACGTAATATTTTATATGGAGAAATATTTGTATACTGAGAAAGAAGGAGGTGAAAGTTAAATTATGACGTACGTAATTAAGTCAATAGTTCGAAGAAAATCTGTTTAGCAGGAGGTTAAAAGATAAGTCAGAACCAGGAGAAATATTTACGTGAGCAGTTGGCAGACACGTGCATTCTGATTCTCTGACACTAATTGCGAGTCGCTCGCGTCTGGCTGGCTCTCGAGGCCCAAATTAATTAATGGCATACCAAATGACGAGCGGAATCTCGACTCTACAGCAACCTGGAAAAGGAAAAAAAAAAGAAGATATTAAGTAACACGGTGTACGATCGTGCCGGGAATATCAATGCTTCCTTCGTTGTCGTCAAGAAGCACGTCGGCGTGCTCGTTAACGACCTACCGTCCTGTATCGTTTTCATCCCTTTTTCCGCTACTCCATGTTACGCTCTTCATATCTGTAAAACGAATTTAGCTTTTCAAATTAACGCGTTTAAATCCGAGAATCTTTCGCAATGCACATCAACGTTAGATATTTTTCTAACGCAAGTATAATAAACAAAATTGTGTTTGGACGAAAGGTCGTACCGGTGCCAGCGAGAAACTCGTCCCATCGATCCCCCTGTCGGCGAGAGCGCGAACTATCGAGGTTAATCGAATTTCAAAGCAGTTTCTTAACTTTTAATCTGTTTAGTTAATTTCATTTGATCGAGCTCGGTGTCTCATTTCAATACGCTCGAAAGAAAGTCGGAGTCTTTCGTCGGGCGTTAAAGATACAAAACGATAACGGAGGGTGCAGGTACAGCTTCAATTATCTTATAGCCAGGGGTGTAATTGAATTCGGGCTGGTTCAGAAAGGCCCTTGTGACGCGCATTAGCCAGGACCAAACGAAATTACACATTCGCTTAACGATTTCTCGGCGAACTGTAAATGCACTCCCTCTTTCCCTCTGCGTCTATGGAATTGCGAGGCTCCATCGAAACTTGTAAATCTCTCAAGTTTCTCTTTCGAAACTTTTCATTTCGGATCGTGTTTGACTTTTACTAGGGGAAATTTACGTCGAATAGAACCACGATAATTTCACTTTCATAACAGTGTCATATATGGAATATTATGTTGGGTTAAAATTATTGCTAGATACATTGATGACGATGTATATAGCAATTCACTATCGTGATGAATTGCGTGTTAAGCGATTGAGAACACTAAGGAAAGCTAAAATGTTCATTTTGTTTTCATTCTAGATTATAAAGATTGCGAGTTTGCACTCAACATTCAATTGGAGTGAATATATGAATGTTTATCCCATACCAATTGTAGTGTGCGTCATGAATGCGTCGTTAGTAGATCAGGATTGCGACATGGGTGCGCCATCAGTAGGTCACGAGTGCGTCATGGATGCGTCACGAGTTGGTCACGAGTGCGTCATGGATGCGTCACGAGTAGGTCACGAATGCGTCAGAAGTGCGTCATGAGTAGTTTACGAGTGCGTCATGAGTAGTTTACGAGTGCGTCATGAGTAGTTTACGAGTGCGTCATGGATGCGTCACGAGTAGGTTACGAGTGCGTCATGGATGCGTCACGAGTAGGTTACGAGTGCGTCATGGATGCGTCACGAGTAGGTTACGAGTGCGTCATGGATGCGTCACGAGTAGGTTACGAGTGCGTCATGGATGCGTCACGAGTAGGTTACGAGTGCGTCATGGATGCGTCACGAGTAGGTTACGAGTGCGTCATGGATGCGTCACGAGTAGGTTACGAGTGCGTCATGGATGCGTCACGAGTAGGTTACGAGTGCGTCATGGATGCGTCACGAGTAGGTTACGAGTGCGTCATGGATGCGTCACGAGTAGGTTACGAGTGCGTCATGGATGCGTCACGAGTAGGTTACGAGTGCGTCATGGATGCGTCACGAGTAGGTTACGAGTGCGTCATGGATGCGTCACGAGTAGGTTACGAGTGCGTCATGGATGCGTCACGAGTAGGTTACGAGTGCGTCATGGATGCGTCACGAGTAGGTTACGAGTGCGTCATGGGTGCGTCACGAGTAGGTCACGAGTGCGTCAGAAGTGCGTCATGGGTGCGTCACAAGCAGGCTATGAGTGCGTCATGGGTGCGTCATGAGTAGATTGCGTGCGTTACAGGTGCGTCACGGGTGCGTCATGAGTAGGCCACGAGTGCGTCAGAAGTGCGTCATGGGTGCGTAACGAGTGCATAAGTGCGTCATGGGTGCGTCACGACTGCGTCACGAGTAGGTCAGAAGTGCGTCGTGAGTGCGTCGTAAGTTAAGGGTGCGTCACAAGTGCGTCATCAGTCCCTCACAAGTGCGTCATGAATGCGTCACGAGTGCGTCATGAGTAGGTCACGAGTGCGTCACGATATTGCAGTTCCAGATACAATTGCCCATCACCACAAATTGATACTTCAATATTAACGACCATACAAAGCACATGATCAATGTGCAACGCCACAAGCCACGACCGAAGCAAAGGAAACAGATACGCGTTAACAATGTTGCAACGGTATCACGTTCGTACAGGTTTAACATCGAAAACGTACAATTCCGAAAACATATATGGAGTGAAAAATGTCGAGAAAGAATAAGATTAATGTACGGGAACAGGTTTTGAAAAATAAGTCGGTTAACAGGTGACGTTGAATGACAAACAGGTAACGATAGGGTGATAAGTGGAAAATGGGGTGGTCGGCAAGGTGGCGCCCTCCCTTCGACAACTTCGATCGAACCGACCCTCCTTCGTTCTCCTTTATTCAGGAACGTCTCGATCGCCTCGACCACCCCTTGATCTTGAACCCTTATCTCGATCTCGTTCGATGTCTAGATCCTAGATTACCACCCTTGCCTTGCAGAGTACCACTCTCGTGGTGCACGGTGCAATTCGGATCAGACTCGTATTTTCACTGCAATTTTCCGTTCGATTCTAATTCTAATGTGGGCAATCGAGGATTGCTGGTTATGTAACGTTAACACTTTATTCTAACGTCCTAATGTCCTAACCTTAATGTCTTCGTGCCGCAGAAATAATTAGCTAGTGAATAACGCAGTTGGCTAGAAAATTGTAGGTTAAGGAAACCAAAAGCTTTCCGTAATTCGACTTTGAAGAGTGATCGAAATTCTACAAAATTTCTCTCAGTAAATCTTCGAAATTTCTTTCTGTGAACCTTCTTGAGATTTTTAGTAACCGATCTTAGAATAAACTCGACAAGAAAATAAAGATTCCCGTTCAAGAATCGAGTTTCTTTGCCACGCTTAACGAATGGACATAACATCGTCTAATCCTCTTCCCGCGAAGGTTTCGCGAGTAGCTTGTCAGCCGCAATTCCGAAGCGTGTATATCGTCGGTGAAGTAATTAAAGGGTGGTTCGTTAAAGCGATGAAAACACGTTTCACGGATAATGAGACGCCCCTGGCACTTTGTCGCTCCTCGGCGTTATGTCTGGAGGAATACGTTCGCGGAATTTGGTCCGTTGTCGAAACCACGTTGAAACATTGTCCCTTTATCGAAGCTTCGTTTCGAACATCGAAAACAAGTCTGTTAAAAAATAGTAAACCTATTGATTTACAACTTTTGTACAAACTGTTACTTTTGGTAGGATTGAATGTTTATAAAAAAATAAGTGTAAGAGGCGCAAGAAAAAATAACCTAACCTCACTTGCAACATTGATGTCTTGAAAATATTATTATTTATGAATGTCATAAATGAATACTTTGTATTAAACTTCGTATCCATTACACGATTAATGTCTAACTAATTCTCTTCCACAATTTTTATTTTAACAATTAGAAAAATGATGTGTTTCTTCGTAGGTGGTTTAGCGCAGGTCCGCCATATTTAACTTCCCACCAAAATGAAGTATTTCACACCTGACCGTCCATGAAGAAACCAAATAAACATTTTTATTCCACGCTTCTTAACTCCTTGTCCCACAAATGCTAACAATAATGGTAATGGTTTTCAATGAAGCCCGAACAGAAAAATATACCGGTGGTAAACCGGCTATTTCTCGTAGGTAGACGCATTACTAATGTACACCTGCTCGCCCCTGAAATTATGGGTTCCAAGGGTTTACCATCGTATGAACTATAGAACGTACTAAGCATTCTTACCTGCTCATCGAGATTGATGTTAACTTACCCTGTAATATCGTGTCACTTGTGACAAACACTACAGTCAGATTGTGACAAACATTGGTTAGTTCAGATATGGTTACTAAACACTACAGTTACATTGTGATACATGGGTGCGTCAGGAGTGCGTCATGAGTAGATCACGAATGCGTCAGGAGTGCGTCATGGATGTGTCACGAATGCATCACGAGTGCGTCGTGGGTGCGTCAGGAGTAGATTACGAGTGCGTCGTGGGTGCGTCATCATTAGGTCATGAGTGCGTCAGGAGTGCGTCATGGCTACTTCACGAAAGCATCATAAGTGCGTCATGGGTGCGTCATCAGTAGGTCATCAGTGCGTCAGGAGTGCGTCATGGCTGCTTCACGAAAGCATCATAAGTGCGTCATGGGTGCGTCAGGAGTAGATTGTGACAAACACTACAGTCAGATTGTGACAAACATTGGTTAGTTCAGATATGGTTACTAAACACTACAGTTACATTGTGATACATGGGTGCGTCAGGAGTGCGTCATGAGTAGATCACGAATGCGTCAGGAGTGCGTCATGGATGTGTCACGAATGCATCACGAGTGCGTCGTGGGTGCGTCAGGAGTAGATTACGAGTGCGTCGTGGGTGCGTCGCGAGTAGATTACGAGTGCGTCATGGGTGCGTCATCAGTAGGTTGAGTGTGTCACCAGTGCGTCACCTGTGCGTCACCTGTGCGTCATCAGTGCGTCACGAATGTACTCAAGACTGTACTGAAGACTTCCATCACATCAAATGTTTGACTACATAACAAAATATCCGACACTTGACGAATTCCGAAAACCGTCACAATGTTAACATGACAGTAATAATTAGTTAACCGTGAAAGCGGCTGCCTAGAAAATTGTAGGTTAAGGTTAAGAAGTAGGCGCGAAGATCGGCACCTAGAGGCCTCTATTCGTCCGCGGAGACAAAGACGCTATTTTGGACACGGAACCTCTAGTTACCTTGTGTATGGGCACTTCACGGATGCTGTATAAGGGTGTCTATAATTCCATCGGGCGTGGGATAACATTCGCGGTGGATCCTTGTGTGGTTCGATAATTCGTCCCGCAAGTGTCGTTAGGTCCATCTTGTACGCACCCTTTCGACGGGGGACGCGTCGAGAGTCTTGAACCGTATTCTTAGCGATCGTTATCCTGAGGACGTTGTGTCGGATGTATACGATGTCAGAAACAACGTGCTGATCTGAACATCGTATTGGACATTGTGCCAGATATATACATTGTGAGAAATAACATATGTTTCTAAGAATATTGTATCTGAAGTATACATTATAAGGAACAGCATATAATTGTAAGAATTTTATAAGAAACGCATCGCGACGCACTCGTGACGCACCCATTATTTACTCTTGACGCACTAGGCAGGAAGGCAGGACGCACCCATGACGCACTCTTATTGCATCTTTGACGCACCCATGACGCACTAGACATGAAGTCGTGACGCACACACGACGCACCTATGACGCACCCATGACTACTCTTGACACACTAGATAGGAAGTCACGACGCACCCATGACGCACTCTTATTACATCTGACGCACCCATGACGCACTAGAGATGAAGTCCGAACGCACTCGTGACGCACCCATGACTTACTTTTGACGCACTAGGCAGGAAGTCACAACGCACCCATGACGCACTCATTGCATCTCTGACGCACCTATGACGCACTCTTATTGCATCTATGACGCGCCCATGACGCACTGGACATGAAGTCGCGACGCACTCGCGACGCACCCATGATTTACCAATGACGCACTAGAGATGAAGCCTCGACGCACTCATGACGCACTCTTATTGTATCTCCGACGCACCCATGACGCACCTACGATGCACTCGTGACGTACTCACGACGCACTCGTGACGCACCCATGACAGACACTACAGTTTTAGTTACAAAATTAACATTTTACCTTTCCTTAGTGCTCTCAATCGTTCATCACACAATTAATCACGACGGTAAATTGCCACGTATGTCGTCATCAACTCAGTAATAATTTTGACCTAAGACAATTTTGCATATGGAGTAACGTCATAGCCATAACAGTGAAATTTTCGTACACGGTCCTAAGATGTCCAGGTATATGGTATTACGGAATTAGGTTTGTTCGAAATGATCGAACGAGAGTTAATACAAAAGCAGTATTTACCGAGAGGAACGTTATCCTATAAGAAGAGGGAAAATCGTGGAAAACCGGTACGGGCGACGAACAGAGATATCCGAATCGACGGAGTCACGCAACGTCGGTCGGATTGCGGAGTAGGGAAGAGGGTTGCGTGGAGGGAGTTCTCGAAGCAAAAGAGGGTTCGCGACGCACTCGTGACGCACCCATTATTTACTCTTGACGCACTAGGCAGGAAGGCAGGACGCACCCATGACGCACTCTTATTGCATCTTTGACGCACCCATGACGCACTAGACATGAAGTCGTGACGCACACACGACGCACCTATGACGCACCCATGACTACTCTTGACACACTAGATAGGAAGTCACGACGCACCCATGACGCACTCTTATTACATCTGACGCACCCATGACGCACTAGAGATGAAGTCCGAACGCACTCGTGACGCACCCATGACTTACTTTTGACGCACTAGGCAGGAAGTCACAACGCACCCATGACGCACTCATTGCATCTCTGACGCACCTATGACGCACTCTTATTGCATCTATGACGCGCCCATGACGCACTGGACATGAAGTCGCGACGCACTCGCGACGCACCCATGATTTACCAATGACGCACTAGAGATGAAGCCTCGACGCACTCATGACGCACTCTTATTGTATCTCCGACGCACCCATGACGCACCTACGATGCACTCGTGACGTACTCACGACGCACTCGTGACGCACCCATGACAGACACTACAGTTTTAGTTACAAAATTAACATTTTACCTTTCCTTAGTGCTCTCAATCGTTCATCACACAATTAATCACGACGGTAAATTGCCACGTATGTCGTCATCAACTCAGTAATAATTTTGACCTAAGACAATTTTGCATATGGAGTAACGTCATAGCCATAACAGTGAAATTTTCGTACACGGTCCTAAGATGTCCAGGTATATGGTATTACGGAATTAGGTTTGTTCGAAATGATCGAACGAGAGTTAATACAAAAGCAGTATTTACCGAGAGGAACGTTATCCTATAAGAAGAGGGAAAATCGTGGAAAACCGGTACGGGCGACGAACAGAGATATCCGAATCGACGGAGTCACGCAACGTCGGTCGGATTGCGGAGTAGGGAAGAGGGTTGCGTGGAGGGAGTTCTCGAAGCAAAAGAGGGTAGGGTGTTCGGGGGTAGTCAGCGCCGCCACAGAGGGTGAGTCTCAGTCGCCACTCGGTCAGCCTGCCGTACGGTCGGCTTTCGGTTTCCGTCTGCTTGATAAAGGGGCGCGCGCGCGCTCTCCCTCTGCCTCGACGAGGCAAGGACAAGGTGCATCTTCCATCTGGAAAAAGATCCTGCGTCCATTATCCTGGGACGTCCCCGAAGGTGTCTGGGACGCGTTTTCCGAACGCGTACCGCAACCGGTCAGCGCGTGTGCACCCGACCACGATCGATCCTCGGGGCGATACGATCCAGAAACGCGATGGACGGAACCACCCTGCCACGGGACGGATAACGACGTCGAGCAACGCACGTACCGCCAGGACGTAACTCGGTACGATCCCAAGTTTTTCCGATCCGGCGCCGATCGAGCGCGTGGTGCGCCCTTCCCTCTTGCACACTGTCCCATTCACTTCTTCACCCGTGTCACACCGGTCAGATCACGCGAGTTTGGGAGTGGACCGCTCCGAACGTGTGGACTTAAGTGGTGTATTCACGCCAGTCTCACGGCGCAAGGTCAGGGGACATTTTTCGTTCGACCGATCCTCCAGTGTGTTAAGTGGAACGCGTGGATCAATCCGATGCTAACCTTTGGGAGCTCGGACACCGTGCTGGATAGGTCAAGGCATGCGTCACCGATACCGATCGAGCTTTCGATCTCCCTAACCCTGCAGAAGGGAAAGGACGAGATCCTGGCCGAATCGAGGATCGAAAACGGGTCTATCGGAAGAGAAAATATTTGGGTCGCGGAGAGGTCAAGGAGGACCGTGAAATTTCGCGTCAAGTTGCGGAGATTCGTCGGTTTCCTTTGTCCGCGGAGCGGAAGGGTTGTGTTGGTCGCCGGTTGAAGGGCGCGGGATTTTCTGAAAGAAAGGAGAAATAGGTTAGATTTATTAGGGTTTCACAGTTAAGATAATCGAGGAAGGCTTACGCGAGGATCGAGGCCAATACGATTTACGACCGGTGCGAAAACAAAGTATTTCGAAACTCGGATACTTTGTCCGCGTAGTCTAAAATCGTTTCAACTTTATGGAATCTGTAATGTTACGTCGAAAGTGACGCGTTAGCATATCCCAGGAAATTGCGCGCGTAAACTTGGAACTTGTTCGGTTTCGAGGTTATATCGTGCAGCCTGTCGACTTTGCAGGATCATGCGAAAGTATTATCATTTATGAGATAATTCGACTCTCGAGGTATTAGCTCCTTAACCTACAATTATTTAGTTGCGTCACTAATTATGTGAACTAATATGACAGATGAAGAAAATGGAGAAGCTAGGTTTCAAGGATTCTTTGTTGTAATTAGAATACTCGAATTGCAATGAAAATGTGAATATGGTTTAGCGTGAACTGCATCACGAGTGCGTCACGAGTGATACGGTATTGTACAAGGAGATCGGGTATGAAAACATAACCTAAAATTTCAGAATCTATCTATATAAGAGTTTAACATATGAGACTTTAATTCTGAAGCATTTAGAATATGTCTTTGTACCGAACTCTAACTTTAACCCTTAACCACTTCTTTATTCTGTGACGCACTCACAGCTCAAATGTGACAAAGCTTCCTCAAGTTTCATTCTTCATTTTGAAATTCAGGTACAACTATTATTTGCATAATCAAGATTCACCGAATATAAAAAACGCTTTAATTTTCTTTGTTTTATTATAGCTATGCTTTCGAGGCATTTGACAAATAAATAGCACAGGGGGTTAAATGTGTCATTTCTGTGAAAGACCAGATTTCAATATTATTTATTTTATTAGTAACGATACAGTGCTGAGGAGATTATTTCGCATGAATATTAAAAATATAACTGTGTTGCAGTTTTGCAATTTCATGTCACTATTCAGTATGATATATTTTGGAAGAGTTATTGTGGTAGGGAAAGATTCTAAAATGTATGTTGCTGTACTGCAACGTTGTGTTAGTTATGATCGCTATGATAGTTGCGATGGCTATGATAGTTATGAGTGGTGGTTATGATGGTTTTGATAGCTGTGATGGTTATAATAGTTATGGTAGTTGGGATAGTTATGATAGTTACGATAGTTATGATAGTTGTGATAGCTATGATACCTGTGATAGTTATGATAGTTACGATAGCTATGGTAGTTGTGATAGCTATGATACCTGTGATAGTCATGATAATTACGATAGCTATGGTAGTTGTGATCGCTATGATACCTGTGATAGTTGTAATATTTATGATAGTTGTGATAGCTATGATACCTGTGATAGTTATGATAGTTACGATAGCTATGGTAGTTGTGATGGCTATGATACCTGTGATAGTCATGATAGTTACGATAGCTATGGTAGTTGTGATGGCTATGATACCTGTGATAGTCATGATAGTTACGATAGCTATGGTAGTTGTGATGGCTATGATACCTGTGATAGTCATGATAGTTACGATAGCTATGGTAGTTGTGATGGCTATGATACCTGTGATAGTCATGATAGTTACGATAGCTATGGTAGTTGTGATGGCTATGATACCTGTGATAGTTATGATAGTTACGATAGCTATGGTAGTTGTGATGGCTATGATACCTGTGATAGTCATGATAGTTACGATAGCTATGGTAGTTGTGATAGCTATGATACCTGTGATAGTTGTAATATTTATGATAGTGATGATAGTTGTGATAGTTATCATAGTCATAATAGACATGATAGACATGATAGTTATGATAGTAAGATTAATTATGATAGTTCTGTTAATTATGTTGTTTTTTATGTTAGTTCTGATAATTATGTTTGTCGAGTCAGTTATGATAGTTATATTAGTCAAGTTGGTTATGATAGTCATGTTGATCAAGATAGTTATGATGGTTATATTAGTTAAGCCAGTTATAATAGTTATGTTAGTCAGGTGAGTTATGATAGTCGTATCAGTGCAGTTAGTTGTAATAGTTATATTATCGAAGTTACTTATGATAGTTATGTTAGTCAAGTTACTTATGATAGTTATGTTATTGAAGTTACTTATGATAGTTATGTTATTGAGGTTCGTTATGATAGTTACGTTGGTCAAGCCAGTTATGATAGTTATATTATTGAGGTTCGTTATGATAGTTATATTATTGAGGTTCGTTATGATAGTTATGTCAGCTCAGTTAGTTATGATAGTTATGTCAGCTCAGTTAGTTATGATAGTTATGTCAGCTCAGTTAGTTATGATAGTTATGTTATTGAGGTTCGTTATGGTAGTTATGTTATTGAAGTCAGTTATAATAGTTACGTTATTGAAGTTCGTTATGATAGTTATGTTATTCAAGTCAGTTATGATACTTATGTTATTGAAGTTCGTTATGATAGTTATGTTAGTCAAATTGGTTATGATACTTGTGTTATTGAAGTTCGTTATGATTGATATGTTATTCAAGTCAGTTATGATAGTTATGTTATTGAAGTCAGTTATAATAGTTACGTTATTGTAGTTCGTTATGATAGTTATGTTACTCAAGTTGGTTATGATACTTGTGTTATTGAAGTTCGTTATGATAGTTATGTTATTCAAGTCAGTTATGATAGTTATGTTATTCAAGTCAGTTATGATAGTTGTGTTATTGAGGTTCGTTATGATAGTTATGTTAGTCAAGTTAGTTATGATACTTGTGTTATTGATGTTCGATATGATTGATATGTTATTCAAGTCAGTTATGATAGTTATGTTATTGAAGTCAGTTATAATAGTTACGTTATTGTAGTTCGTTATGATAGTTATGTTACTCAAGTTGGTTATGATACTTGTGTTATTGAAGTTCGTTATGGTAGTTATGTTAGTCAAATTGGTTATGATACTTGTGTTATTGAAGTTCGTTATGGTAGTTATGTTAGTCAAATTGGTTATGATACTTGTGTTATTGAAGTTCGTTATGGTAGTTATGTTAGTCAAATTGGTTATGTATGTTATTCAAGTTAGGTTATTGAAGTTAGTTATGATAGTTATGTTATTGAGGTTCGTTATGATAGTTATGTTATTCAAGTCAGTTATGATAGTTATGTTATTGAAGTTCGTTATGATAGTTATGTTAGTCAAGTTAGTTATGATAGTTAGGTTATTGAAGTTAGTTATGATAGTTATGTTATTGAGGTTCGTTATGATAGTTACGTTAGTCAAGTTCGTTATGATAGTTGTGTTGTTGAGGTTCGTTATGATAGTTATGTTGTTGAGGTTCGTTATGATAGTTATGTTATTCAAGTCAGTTATGATAGTTACGTTAATCAAGTTAGTTACGTTAATCAAGTTAGTTACGTTATAAGTTAATTCAGTTACGTTATATACTACGCTATTTATTATCATTTAAGTCTAAAAGCACAGTTCAAGTACTCTCACTCCCGAAAATGTATCGAGCTCATCAGATATCCCACCTTACCAGACTTCCCGAACTTCCGTAGCTTAGCCTTCTCCTAAGTTCACGTTACCCTCCTCCAGGAGTTACGACTCTAAACCCCTAACTTACGTTTAGAAACCTAGGGAAGTTAAGTTTCGGTTCTAGAAGCGTTCTATCGAGTCTAACGAAATGGAACAAAAGGGCCGATCTCGAGCAACGTTTAGGATGATTATGGCCGTCGTCGGTGACGCTGCTTTTGGATGCCTGCCAGGTTTAGCTAGTCCGTTTGCTAACCAGACACGGTATAGCCCTTTTCGATACAGTTCTTTTATGTAGGACTTCCACGAATTTATCCTCTTGTTGAACAGGTGATCTATTCATGATCGCTGTTCAAACAACTTTTGGACTACATAACATACGTGTTATTACGTCAAAATGTGGTTTGTACATTAGGGTTGTTCACACGATCGACTCTCATATTACTCTCGTATATCAAGATCGACTCTCATGTTACTCTCGTACATCAAGATTGACTCTCGTATCGCTGTCGGTTGTTTTACAAACATGGAAAGTTGTGGAAGTGGGTGTAGGATGTAAGCTGGATGCTGGATCTGTTGGATCTGTTGGATATGGACACTTTAGAAAATGATTGCAAGGTTCAAATTTTGAGGTTGCAAGGTATATTGAAATTTGGGAAATTAATGACGGATTCATAGTCATATTTGATGCTGGATCTGTTGGATATGGACACTTTAGAAAATGATTGCAAGGTTCAAATTTTGAGGTTGCAAGGTTTATTGAAATTTGGGAAATTAATGACAGATTCATAGTCATAGTTGATGCTGGATCTGTTGGATATGGACACTTTAGAAAATGATTGCAAGGTTCAAATTTTGAGGTTGCAAGGTATATTGAAATTTGGGAAATTAATGACGGATTCATAGTCATATTTGATGCTGGATCTGTTGGATATGGACACTTTAGAAAATGA